TTTATGACAGTTTCAGAGGAAGGGAGTCACCACTTGTTTTTTCATCATGCTGGTAAATATGAATTAATTACGGTCTTCTCTGGTGCTCATGGTTTCAGTAAAATGAACTGAACCAATCTAACGACATGTAGCATCTCCATATTGACAGAAGTTTAAACATTTATATTTGTATGTACGATCTAAACAGTTAACTAGTGTTAGCTCAAGTGGGTAGCCGACAACCTGGGTTTATACATCCAGAGAACTTCTATAAAATGAACGGCTTGGCAACCAGACTGGGCGTCTAATAGAGACAGGCCTTTATTTATCAAAATGTGTAGCCACAGCGGGCTATTAGAGGGAAGTAGGTGTTTAATTAGAACTAGGCTTTTAATTGATGGTTTATGGTAGATCCAGATGCACATTAAAACTTCTTAATTTCTGTTATCAAAATAACAAGCTTTAAAAAAGCACCCTTTCACAGAGGTGTAAACTGATTATTTTATGTAATGAGCTGCATATTGCATTAACATTTTTCAACAGGCTATAATTTCAACTCAGTGCTGCCAGGATCTGCAATTTAAAAGACAATATTCACAGAGGACTGCTGTGCTGGATAACATTACAATGAACAGTTTCTGTTTCTCTGATCACGCATTGAAAAGACTACCTCCTAACATAATTGGATGCATAATAAATTTCGCCTTTGCTCTGATTATTTTCAGTCACATTCAATCAGGACAAACTATGCAAACAGTTTTGTGAGACTGTCAAATGTCATTTAATGTGTTTTAGGGGTAAATGCAAAAAAGCTATTTCATCTGTTGCAACTGACTTCATCTTTGCCATTAGTCTATAATATCTTACCATCACACATTTGTGGAGCTCAGAAACAGAAGCAGAGTGAGAAGTCCCATTTTTTTCCTCTCTTGGACAAATGACTCATCTTCTCTCCCTTTCTTTCCTAACACTTAATTTTCCAGTTGCAGCATCTTCTATGGTTAAACACCTGACTTCTGAAAACAGAAACATTTTAATACTATTGTTCCCAGATGTCAAGAAAAACTACCTTCAATAAAGAATCCTTTCATGTATTTACTTAGATTTTATCAGAACAAAACATAGACGTGAACATTATATTGCATGGATACACATAATGCTTTAATTGCAGGCTTAATGGGTGATGCAGGTGAAGCTGCCCCACCTCTGCAATACATGCCTGTAAGAGTCTGTTGTGGTGATTTCACAATACAAACACACATAGACAGTCTGAGAGGGCTCTAGCTATTATCCCATCCAGCCTGTCAATACAGATGCAGTCACAGGTTTGATCTGACTAATGTGGTAACACAGGGAAATGGATGATTTTCCATCAGCTGTTTTTCTTGGAAGTTGTTGGTGTCAGCCTCATACACTGTGCAAAAACAACTTTAGCACGACATTAACCAAATGTTAGTAAATAGACATTTTAGTACACCATTGACATTTTGAGTTTCCCCAGGCAAATCTACCTTTACTACTACAAAGGAGTACAATCAATAATTAAAACATATGTCTGAGTAAAAGCTTCATTTAGTACATTCAATACAGTGCACTCTAAAAAAGAATCCATCGGTTCAACTTGAAAAAATAAGGTAACAATTTGCATTGTTGAATAAGTTGAATCAACTTATAATTATCCAAACGTGTTGATAGTTAGTGGTCAAACTATTTTATTGAAGATATTCTAACTTAATTCTTAACTAAATTCCATCCCACTCAAAAGTGTCTTTCTTTATTTTGACCAACCTCTTAAAACATGTTGTCAACTGACTAAAACACATTAATGTAACTTACATAAATATATATATATAGATTTATATATATATACATATACATATATACACATTTATGCTGGAAAAACTCATATAGTTGAAGCATTATCCACTAACCCCATGGACCATTTAGGGTGCACTAAGAATCCACTGACTGAGCTTAAAATAATTTAAGGTATTATTAGTAGCTTACACTCTGGCATATTTAGTCAGTCCTATGGGTCTTTTATGGTGTGACAAACTCAGTTTAGTACAAACAATATGATTTGCTTTGACCTCAAAAAACTTAATTAAGTTGAATTAAATACTAATCCAAAATTTTTGGTGATATGTAATGGTCAAATTATTTTATTTAAGACATTCCAACTTATTTATTTCCATACTATTGAAAATTGTCCAAAATGTTTTTAATTTTTTTTTAAAGATATTTTTTGGGGGCATTTTCAGCCTTTAATGGATAGGACAGACAAGTGTTAAGGGGGGAGAGAGAGAGAGAGAGAGGGAGTGACAGGCAGCAAAGGGCCACAGGCTGGAGTTGAACCCAGGCCGCTGCCCTGTACATGGGGCGCCTGCTCTACCACTAAGCCAGACGCCCAATGTTTTTGGTTTTGACTGGCTTCTTAAAATAAGTTGTCAACTAACTGAACTACGTTAATGTAACTAACAGAATTTTTTATGCTGAAAAACTTATTTAAGTGTTATCCACTAACCCCATGACTCATTAGAGTTTTGTCTTCAGAGCTGAGATTAATAGTCCATTGATTAATCAGATGTGTGAAGGAAACTTCATTAATAACAATTTTGTCAGTCCACCATTCTTAAATGAAATGGTTACACTGCCATCACTCCAGTCTGAGCAGTCTTACAGACATTTCAGCACTCAATTTCGACTTCACATCTCAAAATTTTGATTAAATGTGAATATATTCATTTGTCATTTTCATCATTCATTCCATTTTTCATTCCTACAGAGCCACTAAAGCCCACAAACTTTACAACTTATGGGAGCAATTAATTATCTTGTGCGCACCATGAACGTAGCTACTGCGACCTCACCTATTGGTTTGTGGGCTGCTGTTTTGACACCTTGGCCTCTAGTTTCCCGGCGCGGCGCAGGGTGGCAAACCCCGCGCAGAGCTAGTTTCGAGCTAGTTTTGCAGCAGTGACAGTTTCGTGCCAAAAGGCTTCGCCGAAGGTGCGCTAAAAGCTCGCCAGCTGAGACCAGGTCTACTGTCAGCGCAGGCGAAGCGCAGCCGGTGTAGCGGAAGTTTGGTTGACCGGCGGACAGTCCGTACACGTCACCAAAACCTCACAGGCAGGTTTCCAGAATATCAGGCACATAAACGATGCAATAAATACCCACAAAAACCACTATTCAATGCAACTATCTGCAATCAGCACATAAATGTATCTCTATATCGACTGTCCCGTCACATCTGATGTCAGATCAAAGGGGATTGGCACCGTTTGGCACGTTTGGCACGCGTAATGGAAACCCAACCTGATTTGATTAACACAGCTGCAAACTAATGGGTTCACATCCCTCTCAGCCAACCACAAACAGCCACAGCATCAGATAGGGAGTATATATTCAGCATCTGTCATCTTAGAAAAGTCAAAAGAAAAGAAATAGAGTGAGACTGCGAGAGAGAAAGAGAGAGAGCGCGCGCACGAGAGAAACGCAACATTGATTTACAATTGTGGTGACCTCCTCCCAGGCTACCTTTGCATCATCAGCCCGTGGAGGTCTGCTCGCAGTTCCGTATATTTGGACACTGCGAGCTTGGACCTCCCGGACCAAAACATCAGTTTCCTCCTGGGAGAAGTCTGGCTGTCTGACGCTGCTGCTCTCTTCTGCCATGGCGAATTGAGTAAACTCTCATTATGCCTTCACGCGGCGCATTTAAGGGCGAGGAGAGGGGCTCATTTGATTGGTGTGATGTGTGTTAAACCCATTCCACGCCTTCTCTCCTCCCTCTTTCCGACTTGCGCCGGTAGGAGGGACGGAGGTGGGAAAGAGGAGTAGCTGCGCCCGCGTGCACGGTGTGCCAAACTTGCAAAATCTGCCTAGCCACACCCAGTTGGCGAAGCGCAGGTGCACTGCACTTCTGCCTCGTCTGGTCTGCGAAACTAGAGGCCCTTAAGTTCAACATTTTGGCTGTCACCATCTGTTTTTTTTTGGAACCAGAAGTTACCGTATTTGGACAAGAGGGTGGAACTATGGAGGAGTGAGGGGTGGATCTGACTCACAGACTGTAGCAACAGCCTGTCATGTTGCCCCACTCTGAAAGATGTGTAACTTTGAGCCTTAATGAAATATAAGCAGGTGCGTTATTAAAAAAAATAATCCCCCATACTTTGCCAAGAATGTTGAAATCACCTATAGAAACCAAAACTGTTGTTTGTACCTGGCTGTAAACAGGTTGGGCATTTTAACACGAGTGTCCGTGGGGATTTGCTCTGTTTTGGAGCCAGCCTCAAGTGGCCATTCAAGGATCTGTAGTTTCTGGCACTTCCACATTGGCTGAATTTTTCACCGTTGGGGGTTACCGCTTCCTGCGCAAAAAATAAACAAATATCACCTTACATGACTTAAGAGGCTCTGTATATTTAGAAGTTTTAATGTCTAGGTATTTTTCTTTACTGGCAGAAATGGGCTTCCATACATTGGGCTTGCACACTGCTATAGAAAGGTATTAATTGATTTATCTTTGTGGGTTCATTTAATCTTCATAACACAAATTCATATTTGGCTTTTTATCTATAAATTTTTTAATGACTTAAAATCTTGAACTTTAGCATCATACTACCACAAGCTGTTATATACAAACTACAACAGGACAATCATAATCATAATTTCCCTGCATTAAAAGTAAATGGAATCTAACAGTTTCTGTGATTTCCCATAACTAAAATAATTCCTGGTACTTGTGAGTACACAACAGTCATCGCATGAGAAGGTAAACATTTACCGCAAATCTGCTTTAGTTTTCACTTCAGTTTGTTTATTGAATGACATTCTGTATTCAGAGGAAGCTGTACGAGGCTGCATGACTCGAGAGTGACACAACTCAATATAATTAGGAGAATCATTTTCTGTAATAAACTCTACTGCAGGGGCCCAGACTTTGTTTTGCTCATGACACACTTTAACTTCTGGATCAATACTTGGAACCATCAGTGTACACTGAGTACTCTTCACCTATTGGGACACAACACTGCAGTCATGCACGTACACCTACACAAATACACCTACACAACTCAGAAGTGCTTGGAAGCGTAACTGTGCTACTCAGATTACTTTTTTGGAGAGCCTGTCTTTTGTTCGTTTAGCTCGGAGAAAGCCTTTTAGTTTGTTTTTTATTTCTTTTGTTTTTTAGTTGCTTTTTTCAGAGGCAGCAGCCAGGAGATCCAACATGACTTTATCTGGAGTGTCGTTTTTTGCTCTGGGTTTATCCTACGTCTTAACTGTTTATGGCAGGTCGACAGGTATGTTTAATTATTTTAAACTTGTCAGCTTTTGTGTTAGCTTGAGTTGAATTCTTCATTAGTCTGCATAGTTTCTTTATGGTATGCTGATGAGGAATATTTTTGTCATGTGGTGATTTACTAACTCCTTGAAATCTGTAATCTTTAAATAAGACAAGCACAGGTTTCTATAATGCTAATCCTCTTTTTTTATTATTAAATACTGAAAAGGCCTACTAAATTTTCTGATTATGAATCAACAAACAAACCTTTTTTTTCCAGATTCACTCATCACACATACAGATATTAACTAACATCTATATCCACCCCCAGAAATGAATCTCATATAATCAAAGAGACAAAAACGTACAGGAGGAAAAAGATATGTTTTACATTATAACCATTAATGGAGATTTGAAAATGAAAGAGAAAGGACCTTAGCCTGGTCAAATTTTAGGTTTTTACATTACCACCTCCAACAAGCATCAATGAGATGTTACTTTTCATGTTAATCTATAAAATAAGCTCTCAATAACCACACCAAGTTAAGGGACTGTATGAAAATGATTGGCGGGATGGGGGTTTTGGTTTAGAGAAGGTGAAAGGGTTATATCTCACTGATACTGTCCTCAAAAGAAAAACAACAGCATAAGTTGCTTGAGCGAATGGCTCCAAAAAAATTCAAGTGACAAAACCCTCTGGAAGTGTTGGAATAATGACAGTCTGTCGGGAGCAAAAGAGGGAGTAGTGTGAAGCTGTTATGGAACGACAAAGTCCATGTATGTAGGAAGTCAGCGTGGGAGGATGGATCAACAAAATATCAAACTTTAACTCGGGGGAGCGCTGTTTGTTTCCTGTTTCCTGTCGGCAGTCAATAACCCCTTTTACACCGCTTGTTTAAAGTGGCAGAGATGATAGAGATGTTCTAGAGGTAGTAACAGAGTCCAATCGACGTCTGTGTAAAAAGTGTGAGCCGGCAGGATGGGCGGGCTTGAAATTTCCGTGACGTCTTATAAGTGCGACCAACTGCCAAGACATTTAAAAAGCACCTATCAGCAGTTAGCAGCTAACTCAGAGAAGAAAAACAGCAAGAATATCGACAAATTGGGGAGTCAATGTGATGCGGGTGCTCCTTACCCTCGGAAAATAAGATGAGAGAACTGCCATATAACAGGTACAGCCAATGTTAGTTGATGCAATGTTATGCCATTGTTACTGTTATAAAGTGTTGCCCAACACACACTGAAAAGTCACACTAGAGGCAGACGCTTCTGTGTTACATGTCACGCCTGTCATGCCTGTTTTAAATCCAGCATGCCGGCGTGCTATCTAAAATCACACACTGAGGCGACATGATACGGTTGTTTGCTTCTGCATAAAAAAAACAAAACTGGCGCAATTAAGGGTCTTTGTTACGGTAGTTTTGTGGGATCTTTGTGTAAAAAGAGCCAATGCTTGTTCCTTTTGACTTAGACCATGATCATCCTGTAACCCTATCCATGCATGTGTAATTGTAACCATGACAACGTAGGTCTTTTTTTTATCCCAAACCACAATGTTTTCCATTGAGTCACGATCTTTCCGTCAACCTAACCAAGTTGGTTTTGTCCTTAAACCTAACCAAACATTAACCACTGCGGTACAGATGTGAAGATAGACGGACAGGCAGTGGCGATGTTGTTTTGTTGATAGACGGGTCAGATCAGAAAACACTGACATGAGTTGCTTTGCAGGGCATTAGTTGTTTAATCTGGATGACTTGTTAGTCTTTGTCTTTCTGCTGAAGGGAGGGCAGTCTGACCTTTACTGGAGGAGAAAAGGAGAGGGTTTCTAATTTTTTTTTTTTCATTATATTTGACACGAGTTTAATCTTGCAAAATGTATTGCAATTTCATCATGTAATTGGTTTCGTATCAAGCCACAGCAACATCTGTAATTAACATTTACTTTTTTATTTTAAAAGCATCAATGTTCAGACTTGGAAACATTTTTATACTTTGCCTCTTTTAGTAACTAATTGTGAAACAAATTTTACCCACTTAATTCTGTTTCTTTTTTTAAATGCTGGGAGGGTGATGCAAAAAGTGAAAGGAAGGGTCCACAGAAAACAAAAATGATGAGTGAGAGATTTGCTTTTAAAAAAAAAAGCAAGGTTCTCCTGTGTCTCCAGTGACCCCTCCAAAAATGTTCGTACTGTCCCTAACATAGCTTTGATCTGAATTTGTCAGTGTCAGTGTCATTAACTGTGTCACATACACCAGGGATCTTATCTGACGAAAACTCTGTCTGTGTGTGTGTCTGTTCCACGTTTTTCACCTCATTGACTTGGTCAATCCATGTGAAATTTGGTACAGTGGTAGAGGGTCATGGGAGGATGTGAATGAAGCAGTATTACATCCATTGGCCAAACGGGGGCGCTATAGCAACCGATTGAAATTGCAAACTTTGAATGGGCATATCTCATGACCTGTATGTCGTAGAGACATGAAACTTTGCACAGAGATGCCTCTCCTCATGAGGAACAAATTTGCCTCAGGAACCCATAACTTCTGGTTATATAGATTTTCCGCCATTTTGAATTTTTTGAAACACTTCAAATCGATCTCTTCCTAGGAAGTTTGGCCGATCTGCATGAAACTCGGTGAACATAATCTAGGGACCAATATCTCAAGTTCCCTTTTGGCAAAAGTTGGAAAACTTACTAAAACTGAGCTTCTATAAGGCAATGAATATTGCGGAGGGCGTGGCTCATCACATAAAGGTGTATAACATCTCAAGGGTTTCACCGATCACCACGCAACTTTGTAGGCATATGACCACACATAATCTGAGGGGACCCCATTATTATTGACTGATCAAACAAAATGGGGGCGCTAGAGAGCTAATTTCTTATCTAGGCCTAACCGCCATATCGATTTTTACTAAACTTGGTAGATATGTAGAACAGGACGCCTCAAGGTGACTGGAGAAATGTAACTCAAATTGGCAACTGGGTGGCGCTATAACAACAGAAAAATGCTTAAAAATGGCTAAAATGCGACTGATCGCTGTGGCTCCCCCTGTGGCCGAACGTTGTTGTTTTTTTCTAATTTTTGGTATGACTAAGTCATGGTATGGTATGCTGTACATAATCACGGAAACTGTCTGTCAGTCATTCTGTCTGTCCCACGTTTGACAAATGATACCATTCTACCACTACTGGCAATGGTACTACTGTACTTTCAATAAAGCAATTGTACTATCAAATTCACAAAACCTCTGTCTGAATACATTGCTCTTCTTAATGGGTTCAGCTGACTATTTAATCTGCAATTTCCTATGACCTGTATCCCAAACACACACCATGTGAAACTGTACGTGGGCAACTGTGCACTCAATGGGTATGGACTAGTTGTATTAAAACCTTGTTTCACCCTATTTTATCCTCTTCTCCCCACTACCTACAACCTGACAGTTTATGTGAGTAGTCAGTTTTCGTAAATAGTTATTAAGAGTCATTACTGCACTTCCCTCACTTCTTTTGTTCCTGATTTGTTGTCAGGTCTCCATCTGCGCAACATGGACAGCTTCATCCAGGCTGTGCAGCAGGTGGAAGAGTCCAACCCTGGTCTGTCCCCCCTGGCTCTGGTTCGGGCCCTGCGGAGGACCGCCGGCCACGACGATGAGATGACCATTCATTTCTTGGGTGCCTCGTATAATCTCACTGATGCTGAGGTCCTAGAGACAGCCATTCTCAATGCCTCGTCCTTTAGCTTCTTTGACAAGGCCATCCACCACATTGTGACAGATTACGGAGAGGAAAGAGGGGTGGTTCTGGCTCCAGATGGCACCACGGTGGCTCTTGCACCCTTACTGCGAGGGATCGAAGCAGGACTGAAAGCCAACATGGAGGGGACACCAGCTGTTGGGCTCTTTCCTCTCACCTTAGGCAAGACGCTGGGCTTGTCCTTCCTCAGCCTACAGGACATCCCGGCATCTAAGCGCATGGGGCCTAACGGGTGCTGGGACAGCGTGGACCACCCAAAGTTGTTCAAGCTGTCTTGGCCTGCTACACTGGCCACTGATGCTGTCATTCATGGGGGCATGGATGGAGTTATACTGGGCACAGACCTCAGCAACCTAACTGCATCTGAACAGCTGCAGGCCCTCAGTGAAGTTTTGAAAGGATACTATAGTTTTACTCTTCAGGAGGGACAGGGTATGGATGATATAACCAGCCACATTAGCCCGAGGCGAAGGGAGATCTCTCGAGCCATTCTGGAGCCACTCGATCTTCACAGCCAGGTGATGGAGACACTAACGCTAGTGTGGAAGTTGGAGAAGACACAATGGATAGCTCTGGACACTGGCTTGGGGAAGGCGGTGAAGGATGGATTACAGGCTTTTGTGCACAAGTACTGGGGTGAGCTATGAAGTGATTAATAAAAGTACACTTGGGTGCAAAGTAGGGCTGCAACTATTTTCATCAGTGATTAAACTACCATGTTTAATTAATCACTTGGTCTCTAAAACTTGTGAAAAATGTGCATCACAAGTTCCCAAACCCAATAGTCACTTTTAAAATGCCTGTTGTTGTTTAACAAAAAAGATATTCAGTTTACTGTCATGGAAGGGAATGAAAACAGAAATGTATTTACATTTGAGAAGCTGGAACCTGTGATTTTTTTATATTACATTATCAATATTGTTGCAGATATTTTTTCTGCTAACAAGCCAGTTAATTTATCAACCCGTTGTTGCATCTCTGGCACAAAGGCTGGTCCTTGGGATGGTTAAAGAAATGTGTACAATGGGCTTTCTCATTATTTATATATAGTCTGGAGAGTGTTGGATAGTATGACCAATTCTAGATTTTTGAGCCTGATACCATATTAAACATTGACAGTGTAGCAGAAGCAGTAATACTAAACTTACACCTGCAATAAGATGCCAGGCGATCCGCTGACCATTTCCTTATTCACAGTGGAAATAAACTGATCCACACAGGGACTTTTTTGTGCTTTGAATGTAAATTATGTGCCAGAGTGCTTTAAAAAAAAAGCATCAAAATAGAGCTTTTTATTTACTCAACAGAAATCCTGAATGTCCTCAAATCCCAGAAACGTCCCTGTATACACCTGACCTGTGTGGAGCTGCCGCGACGGGATTTGCATCATTTAACAATTTTATCCGATAAATATTAATTATGATTTTTATCAACAAGCCCCTAGCCTCCTGTCATTCTGCATAAGCGGCCCCAGGGCAAAGCAAGTTGAGTATTCCTGCCTTAAAGAGTAATGTCAGTCTCAAACCGTGATGTCAGGATGTACTGACACACCAAGGAGTACACCTCTACATCACTGCAGTAAGGCAAGAAGTTAAACAAAAAACATGACTGTCAGAGGGTTTTACGTTGTTCTTGAAAATTAACCTAATCAATGTTCATATTGAATAGTGGGTAGATTAATTGATAATGAAAACAAAATAGAGAATTATCACCTGACTCCCTTCAACTCTAAGAAGCATTTTAGTGTCTTTCAGCAGGCAGCAGTTATTAGCGAAAGAGCTCTGATAAACCTGCTACGCTACCTGATCAGCTAAAAACAGCAGGCAGACGCAGTTAACGACAAGCTGGTGAATGTAATGCAGTATTTAGCAGCTAAAGAGACGGATATTACAAAACTAAAAGAGAGAGAATATTGGACTCTTGTTCATCAGGTGGATACAAACATAACTCCAAATAATGCTTATGTTGCCCCATGTCTGCTGGATGTGTAGGCTAAATAAGCAAATGTTTGTTAACATGCTCGTACATCAACTTTATAAGGAGATAATATGTCAGTGTTGTGTTCACTGCCCCTAGAAGGACAGAAATCGAGATCTAAGACCTAGATATGTTTTGAGCATTTTTACAGATGAACAATTAGCTTGTTAGCCCCTCTGGTGAAGAAACAGCTGATTATGTGAAACCAAAGCTCAACATTGTTAAATTACTATATGGACTTAATAGACTTTTCGTAACTACACAAAGTACTTTATGCAGGTACTTTCGTAACTACATCAAGTACGTCATTTTATGTCACTTGGGCCATGTCCTGTACATTGTTATTTTAATTTAAATCAAGATCTTTTCCCAAACTTACCCAAGTAATATTTGTTCTCTAACCCTAACCAAACTGCAAACACTTCACAATGAAAATGGGACCATTGCTAATAGACACATTGCTTTGGTGTTGCCAGCACATAATTTTAACACATTTTGTGCCCACCACACAATGTGTTGTTAAGAGGTCATGTCCATTCCATGTATTTATGTGAGACTGTTGGAAGAAACAATGTAATGGCACCCTTCCTTCCAAACTACATCATAATCATCTTTGACATTTATGTACTGCAATTTTTGTAAGCCAGCAGCTGACATATACATAGATACTGATATATCTGAAATGAACCAATATCAGTCAGACTCTCGTCTTAGGTACGACAGCCAAATCTGGATCTTTTTTAGTATCCTAACCTTCATCCTCTCTCCTCATCTCCTCAGACTGCCCTCAAATCATCCCTCGTTGTCAGTGGGGGGCAAAAGCCTACCAGAGTACACCTATCCCACTGTCTTTGCCTCTCAAGTTCCTCTACGTTCACCACACCTACGAGCCATCCTCGCCCTGTTTATCCTTCTCAAGGTGCTCTCGCGACATGAGAGCCATGCAGCGTTTCCATCAGGAAGTTCGTAACTGGAGCGACATAGGATACAGGTAACCAGCTCTTAGAGGAATAGTTTGACATCTTAGGAAATACACTCATTTGCTTTTTTTTATGTCAAGAGTTGGTTTCAATGAAAAGACTGATGTTGGAGACAGGAGGTGATTAGCCTAGCTTAGCATAAAGACTGGAAGCAAGGGGAAACAGATAGCCTGGCTCAATCCAAAGTCTAAACAATCTGCCTACTTCTAAAGCTCAATAATAAACACACTGTATCTCTCAAACAGAAATGTAAATGTTCAAGTTTGTGGTTTTACAAGCACACATTTGTTAGGAATATCTAGCAGCACAATTTCTGACTTAACATCATCCTCCAATATTTGCATGAATGTTGTTTAAAAAAAAAAAAAGTTTATCTCCACTTACTGTACACTGCATTCATTAGTCATGTGAGTACTATCTTTGTGCCGTCAGCTTTGTGGTTGGCTCTGATGGCTACGTCTATGAAGGCAGAGGCTGGAACTACCTCGGCACACACACCAGGGGGCACAATGCCATTGGGTATGGCGTGTCAATCATTGGTAACTACACTGCCACCCTGCCATCCCGCCATGCCATCGAACTGCTGCGCCATCGTCTGGTCCAATGTGCGGTAGATGGAGGAAGACTGGTTGCTAACTTCACGCTTTACGGCCACAGACAGATGGTGAACTACACCTCCTGCCCTGGGGACGCCTTCTTTTCAGAAATAAGAAGCTGGGAACACTTCCGGGTATGATATCTGCAACTGCTGGCTGTATAGTTTACTTCATTTTTGGAGAAGTTTCACTTTATGAAATGGCTCTTGAGTTAATCTTCCAGATTCTGAACTAATTTATCATTTTAATGTTTATACCATTCAAATCCACCACCTCCAGTGCAAATAACCTCAAACCAATGTTGCTTTAAATGGTTGCCAATGAAATGAATCTGTTTGGTCATCCTCACATGCAGGGCACCCACCGTCAGTTTACATCCACTGAAAGGCCTTGTTTTGCCACTGACAGACTCAGATTGTTAATTTATGTGTCTAACAACTGAAGAAAGGATCAGTATAGAACTAGACCTTTTTTTAAAGAGTCAGATCATTTCTGTTAAACCAGAAACAGCCCAGACACTGCTACTGCCAAACCCACCAGACTCCATTTAAATAAACAATAATTTTATCATTGTAAAAAAAAAAAAAACCCACTTCATTTATAGTCAACAAAATAAAATAAAACTCACAAAAAACATTCTTGTTTGTCTTTGTTCCAACAATAACCAACTCTGGTTTGGATGAAGTGAACTCCTTAACTTAATTCTGTTAGATGTGAAAATATGCTGGCCCTATACACCCATAAATTACAGTTCAGTTAAATGGAGTCTGGAGGGTTCAGTGATAGCATTTTTAAGGCTGTTTCTAGTTAAACAAAAAGGATTTTACACTTTAACAGGAGGGTCTGTCTCTGTAGGGATCCTTTCCATAATGTTGTCAGGCACTTAGAATAATCTGAACATGTCAATGGGAAAAACAAGCACTTTTAGTGGACAAAAACTGATAGTGCCAGTTGTCCTGAGTGGTTACATTGCTGACTGTTTCGCCAGCTTGCTCAATGCTGGACTAATTTCAAAAACTGTTTCTCCTAATTGTCATTTCGAAACAAAAACATGAGGAAATATGGTCCATGTTTACTGAAGTTACCCTTTAATGTCTGTATATTGTCAGGCATGTATATGAACATAAATATCATTGTAGTTTTTGTTTCAAGTCCCCAATTCAGTGGGACAGAGACAAACAAAAAAACATATGACACAAGAATCGCAGTCACAATAATCTAATTTCTTCTTTTATGATTTTACAGGAAACAGACTCTCCAGAAACAGAAGAATAAAGAGATTGGCCAACTGCAATAAATGTGATTGTTTCTAACACCTGTCAGGTTCATTTGTCTTCCACTGGCTGTATTCACTGCCAGTTGCATCTAGAACAGCTGTACCACACAGACACAGGTCTTTGTATTTGACAAATGTTTTGTAATATTAGTGTTGACATAAACTGTGTAGTGATTGCTTTACTACATTATTTTTTTGTAAAACATAAGAGTAAAAGCATAAAAACTAGCAAGTTGGGTTAAAGTGCACGCAGGATGGTTTTGCCTTTCATCACAGAGCCTGTCGTGTCTACTCACTGACAGGAAAGAGAGCAAGGCTTCAGTCCAAGCCAACAGTAAACAGAGCCCTTGAACTACACACACAATAACAAATGAATCACTCACATTTCAGTCAAGGTGCACATACACAAATAACATAGCAGAGTGGCAAAAATGTTCTGATATGTGGCACTAAACCATGCAGGAAGTGGCTGCAACTCATGATTATTTTCATTAACAATTAATAGGCAGATAATATTCTCAATTAACTGCTTGATCTGTAAAATGTTTATATACAACAACCCATGAGCCAACCAACCACCAGTGTTTTGCTGTATTTTTTACACTTAAACATGACCCCCTTTGTTCACATACTGACACTAAATGACCTGACCTGTGCTGCTGCACTCAAATTACTGTTGACTTTGTAGAGTTCATTGTACCATGGGAAGATGCAACAGATGACATGCTGGAATAAAAAAAATACACCAAAGATAGGCAGACAACAGTGAGGATGCATAATGTCATTGTAATTATTTCACTCACAAGATAAGCCATCAAACCTTCACCAACACCAGTATGGACTATCATTTTAAACCCCTGTTTTAGTCGTGTGGTAAGTCACAACAGTGGGACTCAAACTGTGGGGCCACTGCAGGTGGTGCTTCACTGAAATTCAGCGTGGATGGTCTTTATTAGTTGCTTTCTCAGTTATGGTTAATGATTGATAAAAAAAAAAAGTGGGGTGGGGGGCATGAACCATTTCAGCTTTTGAAGGGAGCATGACAGAAAGAAATTGAGACCACTCTGTCACAGTTTTAGAATTTCATTGACATCAGCGCCATCTGCAGGTTCCTGGTGATTAGTGCTTCAAAACCTTCATGCCCAGGGAGCAGAGCCCCCACAACCACCACTACCACTAAGGACACAAAGGTCATGTCTTAAACTATCGTAAAATTGTACATTTCCTGAATTAAAATGACATCACACGCACATCTCTCTCTTTTTTTTTTTTTTAATGGCATATTCCTCTAGGTTTTAGATTAGATAATTAAAAATGTCACTGACTTGTCAAAAAAATGAAACAAATACAACTGGTCACCACTAGAATTACTATAATTATATCTGGATGTGTCGAAAAGGCTTTGAAAAGCATGAAAGCACTCAGTCGAAACATCTCCCAATCTTTCTGTCTGAAAAAAGAAAAACCTCTATACTATTTAATGGAGTAGACAAAATGAACCTAATCGAGTTACTTGCTCTTTACATTACATACAGTATTTACATCCTACTTTATACTCATGGATGTATTACTGAATGGGCCTATCAGGTCCAGGCTAAGGGCCCAGGAGCCAAGGAGCCCGGTCTCATTCCGAAGTCGTCAAAATCGGGTGATTAGGCAGTGACTCGTGGTATCAGAAACCAACGAAAAAAGGCATCCTTTAATGTCAGCATGATAAGTGGCCGGTTGCAGTTATAGTTTAACGGCGGCCAGTGGTGTCAGGGGGAAACATTGACTTTCACCTGAGAGAGCGATGTTTGTGTCCCGTAAGATTCCATAGCCAAACCCTGTTTTTTGTCCCTAAACCCAACCACATGTTAGTGTAGCCTAAACCCAACCATGGTGGGTTATGGGAGGAAAAAAGATGTCAATTTGCTCTGTTAAAATTAAATTTCCTGTGAGAAAGTAAGTGTATTGTGAAAGAAGACAATGCATGTGAGAATTTGACACGGTGTCCCAGAATGTCAACAACCAACCCACCCAGGGTACCCTGCACATCATATGTGGACGTGGAAAGTCCATGACAAACGTTAATATGTGACAAGGTCGGAGTGAGAATGCGTTGGCCCAAGGGCTCAGGGGGGCCCTAAGCTTGCATTTCTTGTCTAAGGGCTTAGTCATCATGTTAATAACTGAGCCCCAAAAGTCCTTGATAAAGACAGAACTAAAGGAATAGCTTGAACATTCAATTTAAAGATGTTACAAGAAAGAAACCATCATGATACCGTGTAGGAGAGTGTTTCTATTCCCTCAGTTTATCCAAAAGACTTGCACTGGGTACTCAGTGGTTCCCAACTAGTGGGCTGCAGCCCAAAAGTGGGTTACTAATCCCTTCTGAAATGACCACAAGTTACTCGCGAATATCTCAAGTTTGTAAAAAACACACTTTATTTTTAAGTACAGTGAATTTCCGGCACAGTGCTTTCATTTTGAAGTGCAATTTTCCTGCTGTAGATTGAATGACTACTTGACAGAGACAGCAAACTAGCTCAACAACAAGGCCAAATGCATGTATGACACTGTGGGGAGAAACAACATGTTGTACCTACCCTGGGAGGCTTTTATGTGTCTCTGCTCAGGGCCCACTGTGTCATAATCTGTTTATGTTTTTTATTTCTACGCCTCTACATTTTGGAAGCATATATTGTCTTTTTTACTTCACTACATTTATCTGAAAACTGTCATTACTATCTACTTTACAAATTAATATTATTGACACATGATATGAATCAACCAATAAATTATGATCTATTATGGCTAACCAGCAGTGTTCAAAGCAGTTTAAATTAGCCTATCAGCTATCAGCTGCAACATTAGTGATGCTTACACATTAATGCATCAGTAATTATAATCCAGTGTAATGTATGATATAAAAATGATATGAATAACGAGTACTTTTACTTTTGGTACCTTTTAATATAATTTGATGCAAATACGTGCTTAAGTACGACTTTAAATGTGGGACTTTTACTTGTAACTGAGTATTTTTGGTATCATGATCTAAGTAAAAGATGTGAATCCTTCTGGGCCAGGCATAAACCTAACTTTTTTTTAAGGAATATGCTCCATGAGAACTCCATGAACATGAACCACAATAATGAAGCTCTTAAGATTTTGACACAGGATCTGTCTAAAGAGATAAGTTAATATCACCTTAGTTTATATTGTACCTCACTGCTGCAGTAGCCTATCTATATAATTGCACAGCAAAATAACCGACAACCAATTGAAACACAACGAATGAATAAAAATGTGAATATTTTTTGAATGCGTAGAAAATGGCTCAGGGTTTAGTTGATGACTGTTGGGGTGGGGGGTGTTTCCCAGTCAGGAAGGAAATACAGTGCACTTTCAGAATCACTCAGTTTGACTGCGCCCCTGCCTCTGGTCAGCTGCAGCAGCAGCAGCAGCAGCATGGTCTGCTCCTCCGGCTGAGGTGCAGAGATGCCTCCCAAGTCCGTTAAACGCGCTATAACGGAAGCGCTGGATGACTTGTCCGAGGAGCAAGTAAAAAGGTTCTGCTCCGCGATCAGGGACCGCGAGGAAGAGCCGCGGGTCAGAAAGGCGGATCTGGACGGAAAAAGAAATCCAGCAATCGCAGATGTCCTGGTTCAGTTCCACACCGAAGTCAAAGCTAAAGAGGTGGCTCTGGAGGCGCTGGGGGAGATTGGCTGCAACCAGCAAAAAAAAGAACCTCGCTGAGTTTAACACGCACAAGTTTGGTGTCACAAGGGATTTGGGGATGGTTTTTGCCTTTTCATTTTCACTTGCTCTTGCTCTCCACATCCACTCCCTTACGTTAGATTTTTTTTTTTTTTTTTTTTTTTACTTATGGTTTATTAATTTTCTCATTAAACAACACAATAGACATAGAACATAGTGTCAGTAGAATTTCTCTCAGTCTTTATGATGGTATTTGTAGATAGTCGATTTTTCCCATCTGTTTTCCCATATTGTTTGTTGTAGTTTTATAGTATATGTAAGTCGTATAGTATAAGTAGTCTTTTGAGCTTTTGATTTCTTTTTTTTTTTCAATTAGGCCTACTGTATCTAATATCGTTAGGCCCCTATTTGCCCATTGTTTGAATTTTTGGTCCAGGGTCCCTGGCTTGAAATTAGTATCATAAGTCATCCAATTCAGACTTTTTATCTCACTTTCCAGTCTTGACTTCCTTACTCCTTTAAACCAGACCTCCAAGGTGAATTTGGTAATCGGATACAGCTTTCCTTTTTTTGTCTTCAAACATATTTCGATTAGCAATCATACTCGGTACATGACAATTCTCTAACTCTATCTCCTTCCATCTTGTGGCACAATTCGCAACACACCAGCATATCAAGGGCCGGAGCTATGCAGCATAGTAATATTCTTTAAGGTTTGGCAGTGCCAAGTCTCTCCCATCTTTAGGTATTTGAAGTGTTGTATATTTGATTCTTGGTTTGCATCCCTTCCAAATAAATCTTGAAATTTTCTGGTCCCACTCTATAAATTGTGAGGGAGGAATCAGCACTGGCAAAGACTGAAATAGATACAAAATTCTTGACAACACATTCATCTTGAAACTGAAAGCCGACATCAGAACTTCCCATCTTTCCATATCCTTAAAGAATTCTTGGTTTAGTTGTTTGTAATTTGTTTCATATAATTCAGGTAGTTTTTTGTGATTTTTATTCCTAAATAATAAATTGATTTTTTGTCCCATTTGTAACCCTATCTTTTTTTAATTTCTGTAGATGGGGAATAATTAACAGATAGGATCTGTGTTTTTTCTACATTTAACTTATAACCAGAGAGGTATCCATAGAATGCTAATAAGGTCATCAGTTTTGGTAGGTTGATGTCTGGTTGTTTTAAATATAACAAGACGTCATCTGCAAACAGCCAAATTTCATGTTCTGTGTCTCTGATATTTACTCCCTCTATTTCCTCATTTTGCCACACTGCTTGAGCTGGACGTTCAATAAAGACTGCAAATAGGATGGGGGAGAGACAACATCCCTGTCCAGTAGACCTTTCCAACTTAAACCACTTGGTAAGGCTGCCATGTATTTTTATTTTTGCTACTGGGTCCTGATATAGTGTTCTAATACATGTGACTGACTCAGGTTTGAAGCCAAAATTCTCCAAGCAAAGATACAAGAATCACCAGCTGACACAATCAAAGGCTTTTTCAGTGTCTAAACTTGATAATATAGCACTTTCTCCTTTCCTTTGTACTTCTTCAATTACATGCAATGTCCGTTTTATACTGTCCTGGGTCTGTCGCCCCTTGATGAAGCCAGATTTATCTTTATTAATTAGTTCTGGCATGAAGGTTTCAAATCTGTTGGCTAAAATTGATGTGTATCTTGTAATCACAATTAAGTATCGATATTGGTCTACGTTAGATTTTTGTCTTAAAGTCCATGCAACAAAAGTGTTTCAGAGGCACAGGAGATATTTCACAATGTTTAAAAAAATAAAAAAATCAGTCAGCGATAACTGGAAATTATTTTCACTTTCATTTTAAGCCTATACCTGCCTGCATTCACACCCTTTGTCTACAGTTATCAGATAATGCTCATAATTATATCAGTACAGTCTGTTAATTAATTGTTTAGGTGCTGTTAAACATTGTGTGTGTTTTGTGTATTTCCAGCTGAGGAGTTCGGTGAGGCTTCAGTGGCACCTGTTTCCAGTAAGTGATAGATTTTGGTTGGTTCAGGAGACTTTAG